CATTATCAACTGAGCACTAACAACAAGCAGAAAATGTTAGAAGCAGTTCAGGAGCAAAGAATATAATATAATATATACAATAATATATATTATTATTATTATTATTATTATTATTATTATTATTATTATTATTATTATTATTATTTAAATCTGTGAAATATATTATAAGCCATATAAATACAATTCTTTAAATATAACTGAAAATACATATAAAGAATTTGAATCCAAATAATATTTTTATAAAAACATTTTATCCTGAATTGTGGAGGACGAAACCTGCAAAAGCAATAAATAGATAAATAAGAAAAAATATAAATAAATGAGTAAATAAATGCATAAATTCCTGCAAAAATAAAACAATAAATAAATAAATATGCAAATTAATAAATCAATAAATAAATGCATATAAAACCCACAAGTTCCTGCATAAATAAATATTATCATTATTTTGTTATTATTATTAACTGAGCACCAACAACAAGCAGCAAACCAGCATGTTAGAAGCAGGTCAGAGAATGATATAATAGAAAGTCAGATATTTACTTTTCCCCTATAATAATAATAATAATAATAATAATAATAATAATAATAATAATAATAATAATAATAATAATCATTATTATTATTGTTGTTGTTGTTGTTGTTGTTGTTGTTATTTAAATACGCAAATATATAAATAAATGAGTAAATAAATACATCAATTCCTGAATAAATAAATACATAAATCGTTATTAGTGCTGGCAGCAAATAAATAAATACATTTCAGGAATGTTGGGGAATAAGAAAATGCTAAACTAAAAGTTTATTTTTTTCCCCTCATTTTAAACCATTATTCACGTAGTTGCATGTTTACTTTTCTTGGGTCAACATGCTAATAAGAGGCTGTCTGTCAATCACCAGAAGCCAGTGAATAAAATCAAATGGAAAGTTTTTCTAAAAATCAACTGATGATGGCATAAAGACCACTTTCTGATAATTGACAGACAGCCTGAGTCCTAATAGTTCACCTATTTTTGCAATGCAGTTATTCTTATTTGCTTTGGAAAGATTTGTCTTTTTGTGAAAAGGTTTTGTTTGGTTTTGTTAATTACAAGACAAAGCCTTTACATAAAAAGAAAACCTATTTCCCTATTCTTCTTATCTTATTAACAAAATTTTATATGCATAAATGTAAATTTATAAACCAAAAACCTTTTTTAAATAGCATTTCTTTCTGAAATGCAGTATTACTTTGAAACTATTTCTAACTCTTTTACAAAGAAAGGCTTTAAAAACAACTGACATTTGTAAATTATATAATCTTTTTCTTTAATGTGTAATGTCTCTTCTGTTTTTTGGTTTTCTTTTTTTTTCAAATTATTTTAACTTTCTTTATAATGTACTGTGATTTGTATCTTTTCACCTTTCGCATACCACCACCACCACCACCAACAACAACAAGTAGTAGTAATAATAATAATAATAACAATAATAAGAAGAAGAAAAAGAAGAAGAAAAAAAAGAAAGACAGACTGCCTCTCATTAGCATGTTGACCTGAGGAAAAGTAAACAAGCAACTACATGAATAATGGTTTCAATGGGGAAAAAAAACAACCTTTCAGTTTAGCATTTACTTATTCCCCCATCATTCGTGTTATATATTTATTTAAGTAGGAAGTTGTGGATTTTCGATATCATTTATTCATTTCTTTGCATATTTCTTTTTTTATTTATGCAGGAATTTATAGATTTATTTACTTGTTTATTTATATATTTGCGTATTTATTTATTGTTTTATTCATGCATGAAATTATGGATTTATTTACTCATTTATTCATATTTTTGCGTATTTATTGATTCATTTATTTCTTTATTGTTTTTGCTTGTTTCGTCCTTCTAACCAGATCCTTGCACAGGTATTTAGGTGTTGCTCGGGTAAAAGCATTTATTCAAATCAAGTTAACAGAGTGCTTAGTTTCACGGCTACTTGGAAACAAATGTGAATGTAAATATTTTTAAAATGTTTATTACGAAGTAGCATGTGTTAAACGCGAGATGGCGCAATGGCACTACAGAAACATCAGACATAAATCCTTTCGTCAGTTCAACAGGCTGCACACACAGACTGAGACTGTTAAGTTTAGTATAATAAAGGTGCAGCATTTAAATCAGAAATTAAACATTACCAGTCAGCCATTTTTTTCCTTCAAAAATAGCCTAAAACACACGTTAAATATTAATATTTAATATGTTGCAAATAATTATAGGCATACATATCTACAAAAATAGCAGGATTTGTTTGTTTTAAATGAATATGATGATGCAGATGTTGTCAAATATGCAGGTTAAAGAGGGCATTACACACCTGTGCGGATAAAAAACGTTATCCGTCGCATCATCTTGTAGTCCCGCCCACTCTCTCCTTTTGATGAAGTTGATTGGCTCCTGCTTATGTCACTAACGCCATGGGGACGCAGAACACAGTTCTCCTGGCGCGTTGCGAACACAGTCGCTATTTAACTCTAGTCTATTATGATGATGAATTCAACAAACTACGATATTTGTTCGCAACTTAAAATATCCTTTCGAACGGGGAGGAAATAAAGTGCCAGAAGAGGTGATAAAGTCATAAATGTACAGTGTGGACTAAAATCTCAGCAATGTCTCTTCTTTGTGTGCGAGGTAAGTATTTGGGACCTTGAAATATTTACTTTTTATAACATTGTCTTCCCGTTTGTCTGTGTTTACGTGCTTCTGGTTTAAAATGTGCTGTAATTTTAATTGTATGAAAGCGGTTGGAGCAACAGGTAACAGTAACAGGTGTAAGCTATAATAATTACATACACCTGTTCTATACACAAGAACGGGTGTAACTTTCGATGAACACCTAAATGTATCACTGACTCGTATGTGTGTTACTGTGGATCTGAGGCGACTCATCTTCTGTTAATGCGCTTAACGGGTTTTCCCCGCTGTTAAGGCACCGCATATGCTGTGATCACCTGTCTGATTGTCCCACTGTACGCTTTGATTTTGTATGACATCAAGCATTCCCAAAGGATTATTCAGTTTCCTGCAGGATATGACATGATTGTGGGTGTTTCTACTTTAAACTGTGAGCTCTAAAATAAGATATTTGTTGCGAAAAG